TAGTGCAGTGCCTGGTGATGAGCAGGAAGTGTGGTATGATAAAGACAGGACAGAGGGATACTATGGGGAGTATGGCAAAGAGTACCCCAAGGACGAGGGCTACCAGAATGACAAAACGGACGACGGCTACGCTGGGGAGCAGTACGATGAATATGGGTATGATCAGTACGGGCAATACTATGACTATTACGGGTATGATAAGAACGCTGAGAACTATGACTATTCTCAGTATGGGTATTACGGCTATGAGGGGTGGGAGAACTACTACCAGAACTATGATGGTTATTACGGTTATTATGACGAGGCAGGGGTCTTTCATAATTGCAATGAAAATTACAATTATGCTTATAGAAGCAATGAACATTTGGACACTTCCGAGGAGGTGCAAGGTGATAGTTACAAAGGTGGGTCGCTGGATGCCTACAAGATGATCACTGCTTACACCACCACAGCCACCACCACAGCTATCACCACCACCACAGCCATCAGCCCTGCGATGACCTTCACCACATCAACCACCACGAAGCCTTTGGGTAACCACGTGGCGCCCGCACAAAAGCCTCAGCCCAAAGTGGACGGAGGCCTCTTAAACAAACTGCTGCCACAACTTCCTATTTCCCTTTCATCCACAACCACTACTGCCGCTGCCACCACGACCACCACAACCACCACCATTACCACGACGCAGTCTAGCCGCCCCCTCCAGCAGCCAACCATTCCACAGGCTAGGCCGGTCACAGCACAACAGGCAGCTCAGCAACATACAACAATGCAACAAAAACAGCAACAACAACAGCAAAAGCCTGCAGCCGGTGGCTTCGGCTTGTTCGGTGGCATGAACAAGAAAGGTGGCCTTTTCAATGCCATGTCCGGCATAACGTCCAAAATGAGCGACACACTCAACACGGCAGTTAAAGAAGTTTCAGCAGTTGCACAACACGCGAATGTTGCAGCCCAACAGACTACCAAAGCGGCAACAGCTAAAGCGGCGGCTGCAGCCAAGTCAGCTGGAGTCGTGCCCCCCGCCGCGGCCCAGAAGGCGCCGACACCCCCAACCGCGCAGCCCAAGCCCAGCGCACCGATGACGCCCCGCACCCTCACCAAGCAGGAGAGCGTGCGCAGCGACAAGATGCCCGGGGACGAGGCCGAGAGGCGGTCTCTGGCCACGCTTCCCGAGGTCTCGGACCCAGCGTACCAGAGCGACTCCCAGGACCAGGTGAGAGTGGCTGCGGGGAGTACACTGTATGGGAAGAGGGAAGAAAGAAAGTTATTAATGTTTTCTCTATCTCCCTCTTTTGGATGTGCTTTTCATACGGTAAACGTGCATCAATTCTTGGGTAATAGTTCTAAAATCAAGTGTAGATTTAGTTTGTATAAAGCATTTACAGGTACTATAACATTCTGATGAATATTTTGAGGATTCTGTGGTTATGCTTTAGAAATGCACTGGCATAAAGACAAACACATCATTATGCACCAGTTCTGTAACAGATATGCTCTATTTATTATTATTGTGTAGGTTAACCATTGATATTAAAAATATATAAAGTAACCATTTTTCCAGGTTTACTGGGCTTCAGATTTAATCATACTATTTCAAAAATATATAAAACATATGATACATTCTTTTAAATCAGTAAATCCCATCCTCAACAGGCCTTGTGGTTATTTAGTAAATACTGGTGTAATGTTATACATAATAAGTTTTTTTTTAATACGTATAGGTAAAAAATGTAACGATAGTGAATTGTGCTAGCAAGGTCAAGGCATAGCATTTTTGTAGATAACTTGTAGAGAACGCACATAATAGTTGACACAATTAGGCTGCACTTACATTGCTAACAGTGGCGTAGATAAAGGGGGTGCAGGGGGGATGCCCTCTCTTTCAAGTAAAGAGTCAGTTTTGTAACTGATTGCTAGTACAACTTGTCCACAGTAACTTTTGTTAGTAAGAACATGTATAGCTTTATTCCTTACTTTATTTACAACGCTGGTTGTTTCCTAGCAGATATTTTTACTTGGAAAGATACCGCATGAGGTAACAGTAACATGGCCCCACTCTCTCCACACTTAGCAACAACTTTGGCACCAGGACAGCTTCGAAACCGCGCACACAGACCGAACACAGCCGCGCCAGGACAGTTACGAGACGGCGCCGGAGGACTCCATCTACGACGAGGAAATCGAGCCCCATCCTCACGACGCGGAGTATGACGACTACTATCCTCGCCATCGTGGGGACTATCAGGTAAGGATAGTATTCCTACTGCCTGCAGGTCCCAAAGTATTGGTTATGGGTGCACTCCATTACTCCGGTCTCTTTTCTTGTAGGTCACAACACAGTATCTAGAATGAATCAGGCATGAGTAATGCGGTCATGTACTATTATAGCACTAGAACATTAAAAACATTGAGATACTTTTTTACGCCTCTTAAAAATATTATGGTAGTTTAGGTGCATTGTGCATTAACAGTAGAATTAGTTAATCTGTATGGCAGGTGATATTACAAACTTGACTGCCAAACCCAAGGCCTATTGGAATTTTGGTCATAGAATGCTAACTGCATTACATAGGTTCTTGGCACTGTAAATTTACAAGACTTTCGGAAGTAAGATGTTAAGATAGTCGTAGCAGTATGCTAAATTTAGCCTCTATAACCTTTAAGGACTCATACTACGGTGACTACTACAATGATGATCCTCACTATCGGTACGGTGATGACTTCGAGGACTCCTTCGATAATGATGATGTCTCGAGTATTGTGGACACAGACAGGAACCTGCGTCGCTATCCTTCCCAGGTGAGAAGGACGGCCACCGCGCTGCCTCGGAGTGGCTGCCGCTGCTCTGCTCTCTCGGTGTTGAAGTGTTTGGAAATATCGTCTGGTGATGAACGGTTTTTGTTTGGATGTTAGTTAGAGAAAGAATAGGAGGAAATGAGATAGGAACTGAAATAAAGCAGGATGAATATTATTAATGAGGGAAGTAGTTAAGGTAAGTCAACATTTTGTATCCAGTGAGCTTCGTGTCACTTTGTACTAATGAAAAGTACGATTAAACTCCTTTTCATATACTTTTTACTTCACCTTTTAATTTTTAGACATCTCTTTTTCCTTGTCTAATCTTTTTCTTTTTTTCTTTTGCGATAAACCATGTTTTTGCAATACATCACTTCCCGATGACTGCTTTAATGAACTGAAATGGTATAAGTAGACCAAACTTGATATTACAATGGGTCACGAAGAAAAGTTTTTTTTTATCAATCTTTCGAAAGACAAATTATGATACTATAAAGCGTTATTGATCCTGAGGAAAGCCCCTTGGAAATTTTATATTTGCCATACAGCAGGCAGCTTGTGCATCTGAGGAATTTATGAACAAAGATGTAGCAATGAAAACTGGAGTATTGACAACAATCAGTTCCAGCTAGTTAGTCATGAGAAATTAAGAAAGGACTTTTAATTGTATAAGATGAGAGACAAACTTCAGAATGGTTAAGATGAAATTGCTTATGTTTTTGGGGAAGAAAACCAATCATGGGCAAATCAAAAGAGGACAAACAACCAGGCACTTCTCTGTGGATTCGCAAGCAGAAACCATACTAGGAAAATAATCCAGGAGAATTCTGTAGTTATTATTAGGGATGTAGATGTTGAGGGGAATGAAAAGGTGCCCGTGTATTCATTCAGTCAGAATTATTATTTTGAAGGGGTATTCAGTGATGTAGTTATTAAGAAGAATGTGCCTTAGTTTTAATCTTCCCTTAAAGCACCAATTCGAATTATTAGTCACCTTTTGTTATAAAATGTGACCTTTTGCACAATTAGTTGAGACAATAGAATAACCAGGCTAAAGTACATCGATTACTAGTCATGACTTGATAGAATTTGTAACGTTAGCGAATGTATTTTCTAGTTTTACTGCTTGAGGTAGCTCGGATTACTTAATAATCATTTAGTGGTGATCTACAGATTATCAAGTAAGTTGCAAGATTTTATCAGTTGCCTCATTCATGCATTTTGAAAATGATATTTATATGCTGTGAATCCTGGCCTCATCGGGTCAGAAAATCAGGCTTTGCATATATAAATGCATATATAAACTGTATGGAACCCCTTAAATGCTTAAATGACAGTGAAATCGTAATATAAAAAGGAGTGGATGTCCCATATGCAGGCACTACAGCCTCTGTATACGGCAAAGCATCATCCAATTTAATTGATAAAATGCTTGCAAGCTAAAGATTCAATACAAATAGCAGTCATTTTTCCCAATATACTTACACTTCCTATGCTAATGTCTTGCATTTTATTCTCTTTTGCCTGTTTTCTATCATTTACTCATTTATTTATTTACACACTTTATCTCTGGATCTCGGTAAAGAGAGACGAGAAGGTAACACCGGTAAGTACTACTGTATATAACACTAAGGTTATGCTGAACCTCCTTACGAAAACTGTTGTGGTTTTCGTACGATCTTCCTCCCCAGCTTTGTCAGTGATATATGTGTATACATCCTGTACATATGCACATTTACATGTAGTTCTTAGAATACGAAATGATGCTCTTGATGATTGCCTGTCATGCTAAATGTTCAATATAATAAACAAAAATACTCCATTGGTTGCAGACTTCTTATTGCCGTAACTGTCATGCGTCCCATTAGACTTTTCAATCTTACAAAATCCCACTTTGTTGACACAGGGATCACAGGAGAGGTTCATCGACGGGGACGGCCAGTATTCCACCGAGTACGACAGCGGGACGGACTCGAGAGAGGTAGTCAACGCCAGGATAGAGCCGTACCCAGGAGACCTGAGCAAGGTGAGTTCGCGGATACAGGTGAAGGTGGCTGACTGCCGGGTGAGGCGAGCCCATTGCCGTTTTATTGGAGGTGGATTGGAAATTAGGCCAAAAACGTAATGGAAGAAGAAGATAAGATTGTACGAATCACTCACTGACACCCAAAAATAACCGTCAGACAACATAAATATTTAACAAGTTTGGTAGATAATGTTTTTTTTAGTAGCCACGACTTCGAGCCAAAGAGATATTACTCAACTTTATCTAACCCATTTATTTCTTCATATTATATCACTTCACGTAATTATACATACACATTTCAAATCATCAGGGTTTGTCTTAGATTAAAATAAAAGGATAAAAAAGACGTTTACATCTTACACCACAAGGTTAGACACAGAATTCAGTCAACAGTCTACCCTTATCAAATAAAACAGAAATGCCCTTCATACTTAAAATTGATCAATTCTGTAAGAGAAGTAGAATACTATGGAATAAGAAGACTCACACTGTGCAGGTAAGTCAGCATTTTGATAACAACAGCAGGAACTAAGATTATATCAGTTCTTCAGATCTGTAGAAAAATGATTCCGCTCTTTAGGAATTCTTTTGAGTTGTGGTTCAGGTTAGAGCTTTGTATAACATGAAATAGGTCTGTTTGGCAATTGAAAAAATCTTCACTTATTTTCATAAAATAGATTTAGATCTCCCTTCATAGTTGAAATTCCACATATTTACGTTATGTATGTTTTGAAATAACTTCTGAATTAGCTGGGGAAAGGAATTAAAAGCAGTTTGCAATAGACAGGAAGTTGATGACAGAACGAAGGTTTTCCTATTCTCTTTTTAAACTGGTCATCTATCAGCTTTGGTTAGAATGGGAAAGCGACCGTATTTTTTTCTCAGTGAATTAGAATTGCCTTGCTGCTTAACTATAGCTTCAAGATATATATTTCATTTAGTTCATGCTGATGTTATTCATGATTTTGTATGTAGTGAGGATCACATGTTTGTTGTATAAACCATAGACAATGTAAGTATAATTTGTGTGTAGTATAATCTTTGTTGTAGAGCTGTACATGTGTCATGTTCTGTACATCTGTGGCAACTGTGTACATCTGTGATGACCTGAGCAGTACTGTATTTAAGCTGTAAACTGTCATTGGCAATAGTTGTGCGGTCTTGGGTTTTATTTATTTCGTTTTGTTTTGTTAAAATAATCACTCCTATACACTTAAGACTTTATTATTAAAATGTATAATTGACATATTATCAGATTAGGATAATTAAGTTTATAACACAATCATATATCTTTTTCTAATTCCTAAAAGGTAATTACTGAAGACATACATATAATCATCCAAGTCAACTCTTTTCTATTCCATTTTCATCATTCTTCTTTCCTTTCTTTATTATTCAAAAACTTCTTTCTATCCCTTCCTTTGTAGGCAAAAGAGGAGGAGCCAAAGGAATCTAAGGTGAATATTTCTGCTTACATAAATCCTGCTAGATATTGCATACTCTGGTTCCTTACGTTTGTAAAGCTGCGAACCCATGCCGAGTTGTTCATCAAATCTATCTTTGGTCTTTTCAGCTCAAAATGCTTTAATTGCTGTACAATTACAGTTGGTATCAACAAAATTGCTATATATTTTGGGGGTATTTTGGATATTGGTTGAATATTGGTTTTTAAAAGATATTTCTATGAAGGTCAAAAGAAAATGAAGGTAGATTATATCAGAATCAGTAGACTTAGTAACGCACAGGTAACACCCTAAGCAGATGTTTATCAATACCCTTCACAAATTCTCGATTTTATAAAATATACATATATAATTGTATATTTCAAACCGATTTGATTTTTTATAGCTGCATGTAAAGAGAGAAAAAAGCAGACTTGAAGCTCACTCTTCATTCATCCATCGTCTGTAGGTTACAATCTCTCGACACACCGAGTTGTAGTGTTATGTCACCAGCCACTCTTTAAGTAAAGCCTCTTGAAACGGGGAGCAAATAGCCCGTAGAAATACCAGTTGACAGCGTGAGTAGACTGCGCACTTCATACCACTGACTGGATGGAATCACGCCAATTTTACATGTAGCACAAAGTCTTAGGATCACAATTACGTAACACCTTTTCTAAATGTAGCCTCTTGTGGTTGGCAGTGTTGTATAAAGATAAAAGTGTGTAATTCCTTTAGCCCTAGCTGACAGAAGATCAATTTTGGCAAAGCAATGCAGAGATCACTGTTTTCCATAGAGATCCTAGAGTTACCCAGAAAACCTTAATTGACGTACTTCAGTTCTACTGGCTCTGTCTTTCACGTAGCTAGATATTATTTTTATTCACTGAAACATCATATTTTATGTTTTGGAACTTTACAATCCTAACACAAGCAGTTTCTCTTTTCTATTATGTTAAACCTCTTTGACATCCCCACAAACTCGTAAACAGAAGTTTTATATTAAATGAATAAATAAATAGTGTTGTTATTAACAATGCAAAGACCTGAATAATAAGAAAATTCTTCATGTAATATTGACTCCTCCGTACCTCCGTTTCCCAGATTATTGATTTCAAGATGAAGAGTCGGGCGGAGCAGGCAAAGGCTGAGAGCGATGCCCAGGTGATTTCTAGTTACTCAAGTGCATGACTAACTCTTGCTATCGGCAGCACTAAAGATATGATCATACAAGTCGCTAAATATGAGACAACCAACCCCCCCTCTCCCACCTAACCTGAGATAAGTGCACTAGAGTCTTGTCCGCCACAGCACTCGGACCTCCCCAGCTTAGTCTTGCCTCTAGTCCTGTTAGTCTGTATGTTCTCTGTCTTACTCCCCAACCATGATCCAAGTAGAGCCTTGTCTTGACTCTGTAAAAGACAGCTCATACAAACTATCACCATAACTGTAACTTAATATAACAGGCAACTTAATGACTATTGATAAAACAGACATAATTATTGATGTTGTTGACAATAAACCAGCTTAGAACAAAGCATGGAGAGAGAGAGCATGTGCTACTTTGAACAATAAAGGAAGAGAAGGCAGGTTCTGACGAAGTAAGCATGTTACACGACTACTTCACTTAACACATGCAGCAGTTCCACTCTCACCGCAATAGTCCCCGCCACATTCCCTGGAACCATTACCAGTGCCTTGTGTAAGAGCCACAAGTTGTTGACAAATCACTCTTGTTTTGGTCAGGAGAAGAGTGATGCTTAGACAGTGTGAGCATTGACAGGCCTGGTCAAGGTTCAAGGAGAGTGTGAGGGTCTCTAGTTACCAGCTTTTCGCCACGAGTGGCGTAGGCGTGGCAGCTTTTTGTGTTTGATAACACCATAATGTTGTTCCTAGGCACCCCCGGGGGGAGGGAGACCAGCGGACTCTGCAGCATCTAAAGAAATGAAAATGATGAATTTCCAATCAAGGATGAAGCAAATGACCGCAGATGCAACTGTGTCTGCCACAGAAAAGGTGAACATCTGCATGCCTTTCTTGCACGATCATGCCTTTATTGTGGGTAAAGAGAATGAGATGACAAGTGACACCTTATCATACAGTATATATTGATTCATTGATAATGTTGTCTAATGTGCAACGCCGAAAATTAGAATCCAGTTATACTTTATGACATCGCATTATGCAACACACCTTGTCATATCTCGTGTATGACACACCATAGGCTGAGAGAAGCACGGAGAAACCTGAAGGCCAGGTACAGGCTCTGCCTGCAGAGAAAGCGCCTGAGGGCCAAGAGCAGACACATGCTGAACCCCCGCAGCCTCCTGTCCAGGCTCAAACAGATGGCCAAACGCAACCTCAAGTCGAGGTCGATCAGGGTCAAATGAAAGCTCAGAAGCAAAAAGAGAAACAGCTTAATTTTGAGGCAAAGTTGAGACAGGCACAGGAAGGCCGGGCAGGTCAGCCAGGCCCGACTCAGGTGAATATGGGTGTCCCTCATCTACACATCTTGGAGGATAAAAAGAAGAAATATTTGGAATGTGTCAAGACTTAACTGACTTTTCATTCATTTTTATCAACGACTGCTTCAGAAAGAAATATTACTTATGGCATTTTTTATATAACGTCTACCTGTTGGGCATGTTGTTTGGCCTTTCTTAGAGCCTCGCCTGAGCATGCTATACTCATGGCTTATTGCATGGCGATTGCAAACGATGGGGAAAACTTATACCCAACTACTAAAGATACTATTACCACTTACTATTTTACCTATTGTTTTGATGATGTGTTCTATTCACATATCCTCTTACAAGTGGACTTTAATGCTCTTTCCTATGAAGTGACTGATTACAAGTGAGCATGTCAGAATAAGTTTTCTTTTTTTCTTTCATCTGATACATTTTTTTTTAAAATTTATTATTGACATGAAGCACCACAGCATGAGTGCCTTGATGATTAAATCCAGTCGATCCTATGTTTGATTAAATGGAAATACATCACAATATCAGTCATAGTTACTATTTACATTGTATATATATTCTTGCAAATGCAACGTTATTTTTGTATGCTTTACTGAATCCAATTATCTTTGCTTTGCGTTTTATATATATTTTTTTATAATTTTTACATTGTTCAGTGACTGAAAATTTTGCCTTAATTTACTTTAGTTTAGGAATAGTAACAAGTATGTCAGGAGGGACGGGTTTTCTAAATTGCAATTGCCCAGTTCGTTTGGGGATTCCTCTTTGAATGAATATAATTGAATTTTCAAATTTCATTAGAAATAGAGGGTTAACGCCTTTTTTGTAATTCTGGGTCATTTTAGCCTCACACAAAGAGAGGTAACATCAGCCATACTTTGTACCATGGTGCAGTTTACTAAACGTTGAGTAATTTCAAATGTCGCCTAAGTGATACAGTTGCACCGCTCTAGAGTAACTATGGTTGCGTAATGTTATTGCATGTATGTATATATTTCATTGTGGAAAATAAAACAGGACAGCTATATTTTCTAAACACATGAAGTCCGAAATCTAGTTGAATTAGTTTCGTTTT